ATATATATATATATATATATATATATATATATATATATATATATATATATATATATATATATATATATATATATAAAGGTTTAAAGGAGCATTTCATTCAAAGATTTTAAAGAAAATGTCAGACAGGTTATCAGAGACGGAAGTGGGGCCCGGAGTGAAAATGTTTGAGCACCCCTGCATTAAACAGCATTGAACTTTAGTTTAGTTTAGTTTAGTTTATTTGTTTACAGGGTCAATGCACATTAATAAACATTACTGTAAAATGTGCCAGAATTAGCCAAGAATGGCTATTTTTCATCCGTAGACCCTTTACAGAATGTTAAAAAGTCACACCTAAAATAGAAGCACAACATTAAACATTAAATACACTTTCATAAGAAATACAGTTAAAAAAGTAAAGAAAAGAAAAAAAGAAAAGAAAAAAAAGAACAGACTGATGGGAGCAGAAGAGGACAAAAAGCCAAAGACAACAGTACAAATGTGTCAAGAATACAGTACTAATGCTGACAATGCTGATTTGTCAATAACCAATTTCTAACATGAGACTGAAAAGAACGAAAAGTGCATGATCTTCTAATTGCTGGTGGGATGGAGTTCCATTCCCTAGCAGCTCTCACTGAAAATACAGATTGACTGAATTTGCTTTTTTTGAGAGGAATAATGCAGTCTCCTCTGTCACCTCCTCTAGTAGTTCGGTGAGCAGTCGTTCTAATATTTCAGAAACTGATCAGAAACAACAGTAATCATACGAGCACAGAGAGGTCATGCACACTGTACATTGAGTTTAGCCTACTTTCAGTGATGTTGGCGTTTTGTGGCCGTGCCCTGCTCATGTTTGTGCCTGTATTTTTTCGTGCTTGTCGGGTAATCCTGACCGGCTGTATTCGTTTCCCTCTCCTTTGCACTTGGCGCGGGGCAGTGAACGGTGGCTGGTCCACGTGGGCCACGTGGTCGTCCTGCAGTGCTGTGTGTGGGCGCGGGTGGCAGAAGAGGAGCCGCAGTTGCACCAACCCCACACCCCTGAACGGCGGGACGTCCTGCGAGGGCCAGAGCCTCCAGAAAAGCGCCTGCACTGCCACCTGTCCAGGTAACGTCCACCGGGCGCCGCTCACTGCAGAGTAGTGCTAGCTTAGCATTAGCGCGCTGACCCCTGCACGGCCTTAATGTCCGGTCTGCCATTGGCTTTTGTGATTGTGCTTGAGCAAAACTTTTTCTTTTGCTTTTTTTGTGAAAACCATTGAATTATTCATAGATAAAGCAGTGCTTGTGTCTCCATTCCGGCCGTCATGTTTCTTTCAGATTTTGTGCTGCTTTGGCTTTTTTGCTGCATGAGGTCTTTTTGTGTGTGTTGGGGTTGTAAGCAGGACCAAATTTAGGTTGAGAGTTTAATTTTTTGGTTAAAATTCAACCCTGAGTGAGTCAGTGGTTAGCACTGTCACCTCGTAGCAAGAAGGTCGCTGGTTCGAGTCTTGGCTGGGTCAGTTGGCATTTCTGTATGGAGTTTGCATGTTCTCCCTGTGTTCTCAGTTACACCAATCATCATCAGTTGGTTATGTGTTCTGTCCCAGCCCTGAACACACACACACACACACACACACGCACAAACCAGAGAAAGATATTCTATGGCCGAGAGAGATGCAGGAAAACTGCTTTAGTGTTTTCAATCATAGTAACACGCATTTTACTGTAAATGATGGCATCGGCGTTGTAACAGGGGAGACAGTTCCTCATTTACAAAATTATTTGTTACTGAATAAATTATCTCCGTTTGTAACGCCGTTTATTTATAGCGCCATTTTTCCATCACTGAATGTCACCAAACTTAAGTTATTACTGCTGTTAAAATAGTGCTCATCAATAGAAAGCTTAATTGAACTTATTATTTCTAAAATAGTGTAGTTCTCCTCAACAGAAGGGTTAATTTAACTTATTATTTCTAAAATAGTGTAGTTCTCCTCAACAGAAGGGTTAATTTTAACTTATTATTTTTAAAATAGTGTAGTTTTCCTCAACAGAAGGGTTAATTTTAACTTATTATTTTTAAAATAGTGTAGTTTTCCTCAACAGAAGGGTTAATTTTAACTTATTATTTTTAAAATAGTGTAGTTCTCCTCAACAGAAGGGTTAATTTTTTACTTATTATCTCTAAAATAGTGCAGTTCTCCTCAACAGAAGGGTTAATTTTTTACTTATTATCTCTAAAATAGTGCAGTTCTCCTCAACAGAAGGGTTAATTTTAACTCATTATTTCTAAAATAGTGTAGTTCTCCTCAACAGAAGGGTTAATTTTTTACTTATTATCTCTAAAATAGTGCAGTTCTCCTCAACAGAAGGGTTAATTTAACTCATTATTTCTAAAATAGTGTAGTTCTCCTCAACAAAAGGGTTAATTTAACTCATTATTTCTAAAATAGTGTAGTTCTCCTCAACAGAAGGGTTAATTTTAACTCATTATTTCTAAAATAGTGTAGTGCTCCTCAACAGAAGGGTTAATTTTAACTAACTATTTCTAAAATAGTGTAGTTCTCCTCAACAGAAGGGTTAATTTTTACTTGTTATTTCTAAAATAGTGTAGTTTTCCTCAACAGAAGGGTTAATTTTAACTTGTTATTTCTAAAATAGTGTAGTTCTCCTCAACAGAAGGGTTAATTTTAACTCATTATTTCTAAAATAGTGTGGTTTCCCTCAACAGAAGGGTTAATTTAACTCATTATCTCTAAAATAGTGTGGTTTTCCTCAACAGAAGGGTTAATTTAACTCATTATTTCTAAAATAGTGTAGTTCTCCTCAACAGAAGGGTTAATTTTTACTTGTTATTTCTAAAATAGTGTAGTTTTCCTCAACAGAAGGGTTAATTTTAACTTGTTATTTCTAAAATAGTGTAGTTCTCCTCAACAGAAGGGTTAATTTTAACTCATTATTTCTAAAATAGTGTGGTTTCCCTCAACAGAAGGGTTAATTTAACTCATTATCTCTAAAATAGTGTGGTTTTCCTCAACAGAAGGGTTAATTTAACTCATTATTTCTAAAATAGTGTAGTTCTCCTCAACAGAAGGGTTAATTTTTTACTTATTATCTCTAAAATAGTGCATTTCTCCTCAACAGAAGGGTTAATTTTAACTCATTATTTCTAAAATAGTGTAGTTCTCCTCAACAGAAGGGTTAATTTTTTACTTATTATCTCTAAAATAGTGTAGTTCTCCTCAACAGAAGGGTTAATTTAACTCATTATTTCTAAAATAGTGTAGTTCTCCTCAACAGAAGGGTTAATTTTTTACTTATTATCTCTAAAATAGTGTAGTTCTCCTCAACAGAAGGGTTAATTTAACTCATTACTTCTAAAATAGTGTAGTTCTCCTCAACAGAAGGGTTCATTTAACTCATTATTTCTAAAATAGTGTAGTTCTCCTCAACAAAAGGGTTAATTTAACTCATTATTTCTAAAATAGTGTAGTTCTCCTCAACAGAAGGGTTAATTTTAACTCATTATTTCTAAAATAGTGTAGTGCTCCTCAACAGAAGGGTTAATTTTAACTAACTATTTCTAAAATAGTGTAGTTCTCCTCAACAGAAGGGTTAATTTTTACTTGTTATTTCTAAAATAGTGTAGTTTTCCTCAACAGAAGGGTTAATTTTTACTTGTTATTTCTAAAATAGTATAGTTTTCCTCAACAGAAGGGTTAATTTTAACTTGTTATTTCTAAAATAGTGTAGTTCTCCTCAACAGAAGGGTTAATTTTAACTCATTATTTCTAAAATAGTGTGGTTTCCCTCAACAGAAGGGTTAATTTAACTCATTATCTCTAAAATAGTGTGGTTTTCCTCAACAGAAGGGTTAATTTAACTCATTATTTCTAAAATAGTGTAGTGCTCCTCAACAGAAGCGTTAATTTTAACTCATTATTTCTAAAATAGTGTAGTTCTCCTCAACAGAAGGGTTAATTTTAACTCATTATTTCTAAAATAGTGTAGTTCTCCTCAACAGAAGGGTTAATTTTTACTTGTTATTTCTAAAATAGTGTAGTTTTCCTCAACAGAAGGGTTAATTTTAACTTGTTATTTCTAAAATAGTGTAGTTCTCCTCAACAGAAGGGTTAATTTTAACTCATTATTTCTAAAATAGTGTGGTTTCCCTCAACAGAAGGGTTAATTTAACTCATTATCTCTAAAATAGTGTGGTTTTCCTCAACAGAAGGGTTAATTTAACTCATTATTTCTAAAATAGTGTAGTGCTCCTCAACAGAAGCGTTAATTTTAACTCATTATTTCTAAAATAGTGTAGTTCTCCTCAACAGAAGGGTTAATTTTAACTCATTATTTCTAAAATAGTGTAGTTCTCCTCAACAGAAGGGTTAATTTTTTACTTATTATCTCTAAAATAGTGTGGTTTTCCTCAACAGAAGGGTTAATTTTAACTCATTATTTCTAAAATAGTGTAGTGCTCCTCAACAGAAGGGTTAATTTAACTTAAAATTTCTAAAATAGTGTGGTTTTCCTCAACAGAAGGGTTAATTTTTACTTGTTATTTCTAAAATAGTATAGCTTTCCTCAACAGAAGGGTTAATTTTTTACTTATTATCTCTAAAATAGTGTAGTTCTCCTCAACAGAAGGGTTAATTTTAACTCATTATTTCTAAAATAGTGTGGTTTCCCTCAACAGAAGGGTTAATTTAACTCATTATCTCTAAAATAGTGTGGTTTCCCTCAACAGAAGGGTTAATTTAACTCATTATTTCTAAAATAGTGTAGTTTTCCTCAACAGAAGGGTTCATTTAACTCATTATTTCTAAAATAGTGTAGTTCTCCTCAACAGAAAGGTTAATTTTAACTCATTATCTCTAAAATAGTGTAGTTTTCCTCAACAGAAGGGTTCATTTTAACTCATTATTTCTAAAATAGTGCAGTTCTCCTCAACAGAAAGGTTAATTTAACTCATTATTTCTAAAATATTGTAGTTTTCCTCAACAGAAGGGTTAATTTAACTCATTATTTCTAAAATATTGTAGTTTTCCTCAACAGAAGGGTTAATTTAACTCATTATTTCTAAAATAGTGTAGTTCTCCTCAACAGAAGGGTTAATTTTAACTTGTTCTTTCTAAAATATTGTAGTTTTCCTCAACAGAAGGTTTAATTTAACTCATTATCTCTAAAATATTGTAGTTTTCCTCAACAGAAGGGTTAATTTAACTCATTATTTCTAAAATAGTGTAGTTCTCCTCAACAGAAGAGTTAATTTAACTCATTATTTCTAAAATAGTGTAGTTCTCCTCAACAGAAGGGTTAATTTTTTACTTATTATCTCTAAAATAGTGTAGTTCTCCTCAACAGAAAGGTTAATTTTAACTCATTATCTCTAAAATAGTGTAGTTTTCCTCAACAGAAGGGTTAATTTTAACTTGTTCTTTCTAAAATAAAAATAGTGCAGGCGACAGCACTACCTTCTTCGCCACTGTGTCGCTGTTTAATTGTGAAGACTCTCCTTATCTTGAATTTACTGTGATGTTTATTCATTTTGGAGGCATTTTTGAAAGTTACCCGACCTCTTTTACTGCCGTCATCTGTGTGTTCAATAGTGATCGTACAGTAGAGAAAGGAAGAGGAAGCAGGAAAGCAGTTTTTCCTCAGCGTTTATCGACCGTGCGCAGTTTGAAATGGAAGTCAGGACGCTTCATTTACAGGCTGACATCAGATTCAGGTGAAGGGGGAAGGGCTTCTCTTGATTACTGCGATAGTGAGTGTATTTCAGCAGGGACAAAAATGGCATTATGCAGGCGCTGCTGACCGGCGGAAAATATCCACGCTTAGTAAACAGGAGAGAAAATCGAAACTTTTGTCAGCTACAACTCAGCCACTCTCTCTCTTTCTCCTCTCTCTCCACTGAGAGTTTTATCTACTTAAGCCAATCTCTTGTTTCATTACAAAGCATCCAGTGAAATTTAATAAGACGCCACCTTTACGCCGCTCGGTAAGTAACGTGCTCTGAGAAGTATGGCGCTTTTGATGAGCACAAACACACAAAGCATGGGGGAACGCTTTCTGACAGAGCTCTGCAGGGATGGATTTCACATGATTACCACCCAAATAGCA